TGTGTGCATGTGTGCGAGTGTGCGTGCGTGTGTGTGTGTGTGTGTGTGTGTGTGTGTGTGTGTGTGTGTACAATAAATCCTCCAAACAATAACAACAACAAAAAAAAAAACCCTATGTAACGATCACCATGAGGTTCGGCACCCCACATGGCCCCGGGGGTGTGGGTCTGGTGTTTTGGTAGCGCTGCAGAAGTCATTTTGTCGATGAACTAAGCGCACACCTCACAGCTCCATCCATTTCCAGTCCCACCCTTACTTCCAAGCAGCTCTGCTCAGGCCGCATCAGCTTCTCTCCAGGGCAATCCAGCACTGAGTGGCTGTCAGCCGCGGGGTGAGCAGCACCTTGGGGCGTGGGAGGCTGGATCCAATCTGAGCTAAGGAATGGATGGCCACACGCCCCCCACCCACCGCTCCTCCTCTTCATGGTGGTATACCTCAGACAATAGCCAGCAGCCAGGCCCCTTGCAGTTCTCTGAGCACACCGAACTCAAGGACACGGCCAAAGCAGGCCTCCGGTAAATGGCGATGTCCTGCCATTAGCCAGAGAAGACGTGCACACTGCCATAGACCACTGCAGTCAGCTCGGCAGGGTCTCACTTGTGCCACGTTGGGCTGTAAAGTGGGAACATTATGAGCAGCTGCCTCTCCTCGAGGGGTAGACTTCACCAACTCGGGCTGCTCAGGGCAAAGGCAGGGCCAGAGAAATTACACTGGCAGGATGCCACGTCCTTCACCCCAGCCTTTTGGAGGGGATGTGAAAGAAAGGTAACTGGATAGTGTACTAACTGGTTATGCAGCCACTCACTATTAGACAGCTAACCAGTGGGGGGCCTAACCAGATCTCACCCACTCTAATCAAGCGCCAAGGCGCGCTCCCCCCCCCCCTCGAGTTTTCCATTCAAGTCCTGGTCTCACAGCTGAACTCTTCATGTGGGCACCTGTACCATTCTCTAAGGCGTCTTTCACGGGGAGCTTTTCCACTCAAGTTTTCATTTTCAGCCTCACTGCCAATTCCTAACAGTGAAATGAGGCTTATCTTAATCATGTGACCATTTGCCCACCCTGCCCTGTAAAACCACCCAAAAGACTATTTTATGGGCTGCCATCAGCCAAGGGTGACCTGGCTCTGTTCCTCACTCAACAGGAGCATTCCTACAAAACCCCATGGTTTTGCTATCTCTTTTTCTTCTGGTATTTTCCCATTCGGGCACACTTGCACACGGTGGGGAGGTAAGAAAGGTGTCTCTGCCACTCCATTACCACCCGCTCTTCACTGGCAGGGAGGCTGGCGGGGAGAACGGAGAACACACGGCTCCTTCAACTCCCCACCAGTCCTCATCCATCCGGCCACTGTATTCCTGAGCCTCGGGGGCTCGGAATCACTGTATGGCATGTCCCCTTCTGCCTTGTCCTGAGAAACCTCCAGAGCAGTGCCTATTGTCCTCTCCCCATTCCAAATTATCACCAAGAACACTCACTGATGAACCTGGGGTTCACACTAGTCCACACACCATCACCATAGCTGCTGTCTCTGCCATTCTCCAAACCTTCACAAACTGGGGGCAACCCTTCTCCTCCTTCCAGTCATCAAGCCTCTTAGGGCACCAACTCTCCTTCCCTTCAGAGACGCCCCAAAGACCTGCACCGAGGTGATGATCTTCCGGGAGCTAACAACAGATCTGAAGCTAACCTACCTTAACCCTACTGCCATCAGCCATGGGAAGCTCCATGGCATTCCCGTACACTTGGACGTGGACCTCCTCAAATGGAGCCAGTCCAACCACCACTTACAAGATTACCCTTAGAGCCAAGGAGATGGGCCGATGAGAACAAGCAACAGAAGCCCTAACCACCAGGCTCTACCCACTGCTTGCACTGGCCCCTTGGTCATGCCATGTGGGCAGATGAGGGTGTGGCTGTGTTAGACACTTGCTCCCTAAAGCATGGTCACATGACTTGCAGCACCTATATCCCATAATTTATTATGGCTGTGCTGCCATACTATACCTCATAGAAGCATCACCATGGCAACATTTACAAATCACCATGGCAACAAAGCAACTTCATCACTGTGGCAGCCATGCCCACTGAGCCCTAAACAAGATGGGGAGAATTTAAGACTTCTAAGGGTCACCCTAGATATTAGTCCCCTCTACAGGTAGCCAGCTGTCACCCACAGCAGAGCAGACCAGGTGACCGATGCCAAGGCATCTCTGCTCCAAACTCAAACTAGTTCATAAAGCATGCTGCCGCTGTCCTGGGGGAGAAATTCCCCAAGTGATAAAGCCCCTTGACTCAGGCTTCCTCCCGCTCCTGCTCAGGCTACCACTTAGCAGGGTCCAGGGCTATGTCACCCAAGAGACTGGCAAGGGACACGGTAGCTTATGTTCAGGAAAGACCAGGCTAATGCTTCCTCGTCCGTCTCCATCTCCAAAATGTCACTGAGAATTCCTCACTACGAATCTTTGAGTGCGCAGGGACCTGCTTCACTCATTTCATCAGCTTCTACAATGATCGGATTCGGCCATCATACCAAAGAGGGCAGATTCCAATCCTGACCATGGCCTCTCCCAAGTTCCTTCACTTGTTTACACAGCCCTTCCAACAACCAGACACAGCCACCATCTCAGAAGCTCCTTAGTTATGTTCTGGGAGCAGAGGGGCTGCCTCGGAAGGTGAAGGGCGGGAGACTGGCAGCACAGGTCTACAACCCCAGCATCCAGGAGGGTGGGGCAGGAGGACTAAGGCCAGCTTGGGTTGCGTGGTAAGATCCGTGTACTACACTCCTACGAAAAAACCAAAAAGAACCAACCAACCAAAAACATGTGGGAGGAGGTAGAGCTCAGAATCCCGTGCCTTCTACTCCAAACCCCCACCCTCTCGCTCTCAGACGCAAACAGCCTGGCTCTTTCTCCCGTGGTGACATCTGTGAGAAGTAAAGGGATCCACGGGAGCGCAGCCTCGGCCCACCTGAGTTGTGATGGCCAGGGTGGCTCAGGGATTCGCAGCTGAAGAAATCGAGGAGTCCCTGGCCTCCCACAATAAAGCAGTAATGAGAACGAGTATGATGGTTCTTTTAGGGTGTCCCCGCCAGTCAGCCACAGACACCAAGTCCCCAGACAAGCACGGGGATAGCACCCTACTTCCTTCTTGAAAACCAAGCCGCTTGCCCATCCCCTGCAGAGCACTCGGTGGCAGTTTCTGGCTCTTTCAAGTGGCAGGAGCCCTGTCTGAGTCTTGGAGGGGCCTCTCAAGCCACTCCAATTTCTTGTCTCTAGAGTCAGTAGAGGGGAAAAAAAACCCAAACCAAACCAAACCGGGAAGGAGGTGGACCTCCCAGGCAGGTAGGTGGGTGGCCTCTGATTTTTATCTGAGGGCAATGGCCACTCTGTGCAAAAGGCTGGAATCTGTCCAAGATCCCACCTCTCAACCTCTTGGAGTGTCTCTCACCATTCACTCGGAACAAAGGGGAACTCCCACTTGTGGGCAGCTCCTCCCTTCTAGAAGCACCTTGGCTACTTCTCAGTTCTTACAGGCCTTGCCAAGATCTTCGGCCTCACAAGGTGCTGGTGATGGGGCGGCTTTGTATTCACTCTGAGCCCCAGAGTGGAGGAGGAGGCTTTCTTGGCTCTTCACTCAAGAGCAGCCCAGGCCCATTGCTGCCCATACATATCCCGTGACGGAGGGGATAAGGATACTCACACCCACGCTCGACAAGAGACCCTTGGGAAAGGGCATCACTGGCTTGCCACAGAAAAGACTTTTCGTTAGGACTAACTCACAGCAAACCTTCTCGGTCTGCCTGTTGCTGCAGCCTGGCCAGAGCATTTGCTGGACCTTAAAGATGAACTGGGAGGTAGTGGGGGAAAGATGGCGCTCTAGATAGCCAAAACCGCATGCTCCTGGACCAGCAAGCCCCAGATCCCACGGGCACTGAGGAACTGTACTGGGGATGCTTCCATGCCTTCAAGGGCAGCAACAACACACACAGGGCTCTCAAACACGCAACGTCAGGGACTGGCTTGTCTAGGAGGCTTCTGCAATTGCTTGGCCTCCATGCTCACCGGGACATCCTAATCGGGCCAGAGCAGGCCTCAAACCTTAGGCGTGCACATTTGAGGAGCCCGAGGATCTTCACCAAGCGTTGCACACCCCCTCACCCTCGCAATTCTCCAAGGTTAACTCCCACAGGGGACCCACTGTTGGGACTCAAGTGCCCACCTTTTACCTCCAGAACATAAGCCACCGTCTGTCCTGTGGGGAGAGACCTTGCACAGAAACCGTACTTGGGGTCTGTTGGTAACTCCCAATGACAGCAAACGAATTCAACAAACACCTGTTCCTCCTATCTTTCTGGTGCCTTGGCCAACCTTCATCCTATCTCAACAAAAGCCGAGTACTTTCCCTTCCACATTAGACTGTCATGTGGGAGAAGGGCAAGGTTAGAGTATCGGTCCAGGTGCTACAGAAAAGAACTGACCCTCACCACCCACCTCCTACTGCTACATTGTATTGGGCTGTCATTCCCTTTGAGCCCGATGTTTCTTTGAAAACAGAGATGATGTCCCAGAAAAGAATCCCACAGCCGCCAAATCCCCTGCTGTTGCAAGCAGACATCACTGTACTAATGGCCAAAGCAGCCCCTTTCTCAGAGCAATCCCCAACTGGACCTTGGACCATTCCCCACCTCTTCCTCTCACCATCGCGGGCTCTGGAGGCAGAGTGGCCCTGTTCTCACTCACGGACATGGCACTACGATCCAACTACTCAAGTTACTTACATCGCTCACTGTCCTTCTGCTCGGCAATGGCCTCTTCCAGGGCGACTGACTTTGGCTTTTTGTCCTGACTTCCTTTCAACCTTTCCCAGTCGGCTGGGCTGAATTTGCACACCTCGGAGTCTTTGGTTGCTGGGTGGCCACCTTCTCTCTCTTTCATCTCCAACTCTGAGAAGCGCATCATTGCACGCTAGAAAGAGAACGGAGACGGAAAACAACACCTTACCATAAAGGCTAGTTCACGTGCCTTACACTATAAAAGAAAGGGTTTTCAAAGAAAAGCTTGCCCAAAGCCAACCACAATTTATGAGATCCAACTCAGATATTTTAAAGTTTAACAGATAAAATTTAAGAGTGTCTATGTGAGTAGTCACACGGTCTTTATCCGTAAAGTCATGTGTATATAGATACAGACGCAATGTGTATGTATAGCCATACATACACGATTGCACAGAGACAGACATTCTCTTTTGAAGGTTATAAATAAGACAAAACAAAACCACAACGCAAAGAAAATAAAAGAAAAGCACAACAGAAAAGAAACAAAATATACAATGAATAAAGACGACCATGGCCCACAAACTTCCCTTTGTATATTTGGAAACGAAATTGAACTCAAAAGGTTTATGGAAGATTCTAGTAATAAAAATTTGAAGAACTGACCTCACAGTAAGCAGCGGGTAGACATAAAATACTGTCCTCTTGTAATCCTTCCATCTATGTAATTAAAATGGGCACTCAATGGATCATTTAGATAACTTCATCCATTTTTATCAGCATAAACCAAGTCTTTTCTTAACATTGCAAAACAATTTGGCTTTATTCATCTTTTAATTAAAAGTAAAATATCTTAAGGAAATTCCTATACAACATCTATCATAATTCACTAGCAAATTAAATACATACTCTATCCCTTTAAGCGAATTTTTTCTTTCTGTTTTGGTGAAAAAAAATTGCACGATTCCCACAGACATGCGACTGCTACACATCTCCACCAAGTATCAAGTAAGGCATTCTAAGCAATGCTTCTAGATCTAGTTGTTGTTATCTTACAGGCCGAGACATCAAAGCAATTGCTAGGTAAACGTCATGCAGTCTTTAGACATCCTTCATAATAATTACAACTTGTTATCAGCATTCCAGTAGAGTTCTCATATAATCTACAGAATAGCTTAAAGTAGCCAGACACATGAACCTCCTCAAAGCTACTACTGCCGTCCCCTTATTGACCACATTTCATACATTCCAATCATCATAAGTGTCACTAACCAAATCTGCCTGCCTGTTGCTCTGTCCTACCACGTCCCCCCCAATCCCCTTTGCACATTACAAAGCTGACAACTGATAAAGTTAGTGAAATTAGGGGGGGATGCTCACCTGCAATGCCCGCTGCTCTCGGCTGAGCTGACTGGAATCTGCGTACAGTTCGGTAGTGACACACTTGAATCGGTCGCCCACGTAACCTGCCGAGTTAGCAATTCTCTTTGCCAGCTTGGATGGCTTCGGTTTCAGAACTTTGCCATCGTTGGCTTCTGCCTCATCAGTTCCATCTTTGGTATAGGTGGGAGTGACATCCATGCTCGGTGGGGCGCTGCCCACGCAAAATGGTTTGGGATCCTCTTGGGTTTTACCAAAAGTCACAGCAGGGGCCTCGGTGGCCAGAGTTGTCTCCAAGAATGGGGTTGCCACCGGCACCCCCAGGTTCTCTTTGTTGGTTCCTGCTGCAACACTGTCCTTGCCTAAGCTGAACACTGGCTGGCTCGGGGCCTGTTTGAAAGCATAAGATTCGTGGAAGTCACTGATGCGGCCCAGCTCCTCTCTGAGGGAGATGAAATCACGGTGCTGCATGGTCACAGGGTCAGCCGCGGGCTTGCTGGGCTCTGTGGTCTGGCCCACACTCTCGGCTACAAGGCCTGGTTTGGATGCTCCTGCATCAGTTTTAGAATCGGCTTCTTCTCGGAGGTCTACGTAGACTAGCTTGTCGCTTTTGAGGCCGCTTTTGCCTTGATTCCAGCCAGGGTTTGGCTTCAGGTTCTTCTCAGCGGGGACTTCTGGGTGTAGTTTGGTGCTGCTGGCTTCCAACATCTCAGAAAACCGACTGCGGAGGCTTGGGTCCTCATAACGGGTTCTCTCATGGGAGCGGGACCGTCTCTCCGGTTTCTCCTCTTTCGTGATCTCCATGGGGGTGTGTGGGATCAGCATGGGATGTACCATGCCCAAGCCCAGGGCATCTTGATAGGTCACAAACTCTGGCCGGCTTGTATGCAGCCCATAGGGCAGGCCAGGCTTGGGGGCAAGGTGCCCAGGAAACAGACTGCCATTGGGTAACAAAACTGGGTGAGGGTACACAGGTCCTTTGCCATGTAAAGAGAGGGGACTTAGAGCGATGCCTTCTGGTGCTGGGTAAGGGAGGTAACTCCTAGGGTAGGGAATTGGTGGGGACCTGAATGCTTCATTTGGAGATAGAAATATTGAGCTTGGCGGGAGGCCATTCTCACTCGCTTTGAAGCTCGGTTCTGGGTTGCTGGCTTTGGCTCCCTTGCTGCCACTGTGCTTGGCAGGCGTGGCTGGGGGCTGGCCCGCGTGCTGAATGACTGATGGCGTGCTGTCCACAGAGCTCCTGCTGCTGCTCTTGGTACCATCTGCATTGGCATTGGGGGCTGGTGAGGCGGAGGCTGGGCGTCCCGAGCTGGACACCGACCCTGAAACGTTAGTGATCACAGCGTCTGTGCCCCCCATGCGAGGACAGGAGGAACTCCTCTGCTGTGGTATTGCCCAGTCCAACGCCTTGTTTTTCAGCGACATGCTCTTGCCATTGTTCTCTTCATTAGGACTTGGCCCTGGCACCACCCAGGATGAGGGAGCAGTGCTGATGATTTCTGATCTATAGATAGCACAGCCATTTCCTGGAGGAGATAGCGTTTCTTTTGGAATCTCACTTCCGGAGAGCACTAATCCACTTGCAGCCCGGCTGTGAACCAGGACTGTGGCAGCCATCTTTTTCATGTGGTCAGCTTTGGAAGTGTCTCCATCCACCACTTTAGAAGACAAGTCCAGTGGTTTATCCGTGACATCTTTGGTAACAGTCTGCTTTTCCAACAGAGGTGGTGAGCCCCCATCTTTTCTGTCTTGAATCGTTGTCTTCCGGGTGTGCCCAGACATGGGCTGGGCACAATCACCCCCATCTGGAGCCTTGGGGTACTTGCCATTGGACAGTCTGGCTGTGGGGAACTCGCTACTGACTGTCATGTATGGCTTCGTCAGGGTGACTGAGGGGGAGGTGGAGATCCTGGGATAATGCTTGTGGAACTCGGAGTAGGTCTCTGCAGTGGGCTGCGTGGGGAGGTGGACACGAGGTGAGGGCCGAGGTGAAGGGGGCAGCAGGAGAGCTGCGTCGCCTGGCAGGCCACTGTTGACTGCCTTGGCGGAGGGCACCCTGGACTGTTTACTGTTTTGGATGTGGGGATAATTATGGGAATCAACAGGGTTCCCAGGGCTGACGCCCACCTTCCACGGGAGGCTTTTGTCTGAGCAGTGGACGAGAGGTGGAATGGCCGGAGAGGCTGAAGGTGTGGAAAGCCTCATGGGTGAAGCCAAGGAGGAGGGGATGTGGGGGTTAACATAGTGTGGGGGCGGCAGGTAGAGGAAGCGTTCCCCACTGGTGCAGACTGGCGAATACAGTGGCTGGGCCAAGCCATAGGACTGCTGAGGTAGCAAGGCCTTGTACATGTTCAGTGAATACTTATTTGGCGAGTCGAGGAAAGGATAGATGGCTGGAGTGGCCCCCTCCATGTAAGGGTTGACCCAGGGCAGCCGCAGGTAACTAGCACCGTTGATGTTAAGAGGGCTCTGTTTGTCGCTGGCAGGTCTGTCCAAACCCAAGCTTTCTGCTGTGGCCACAGCACTTTTTTGTATTCCAGGCGGTGTTTTGTATATAGCACTGAAGCCATTTGGGGCCTTTCCAGAAACAGCAGAAGCCTCCACTGTCTCAGGAGTATTCGGTTTGAATTGCATCTCTGGATTTCTTTCTGAAGAAAACCCAAGGCCACTGAGAGAGCTTGAGGCAGCCTCCCGACCCTTTTCTGAGCCCAGTCCACATAAGCCAGAATAGACGATGTTTCCAGGGACTCGGAGCCCTTCCCGGATGAGGCCTGTGCGGTCCATGCTCAGTGCTGCCAGGCCATCAATCCGATGGGCGCCACTGGTATCCACCTTTGTAAAAGAACAACACGGGTTACTTGGGACACCTGTCACAGTAGCAGCCCTGGTCCCCACTGGGCCACCCACTGGGTCACATGATGTCACGCACACCACCTCCCAGAAAGGTTAAAGACAGCTTTGCTGTATCCAGAGCCCCCTCCTCCCACATCCCAATCCTCCCAAAGCCTCATTTTCCATCTCTGTTCAACTAGGACCCTGCAAGTACTGAAAGATCCACGCAGACTAGAAGCCAACACATTATTTTGCTGCAGCACAGACAAGACCAAGTACAACATTCTCTGCACCACTCTTACAGGGTACAGGACTTAGACTAATCCTTGTAGAGCCTGTCAGGCTGGAGTGGGGGTGGGAGTGAGTATTCATTTCTCCCGGAGACAGAAAGGTATCATTGAAGAGGACAAGAAACAATTTTCCACGGGACAACGGGTATGGGGAACTTTAGCTTAGCCTCATTTCCCAATCAATAATGGGGCCAGGGGTCAAAGTGTGCTCGCATGTTTTGACTTCTTCTCCCTGGTGTCTGAAAGGACAGTCCAGTGTTTCATAGTTTACTGGCAAAGGAAAGCCTCAGGAACTACTTGGAGGCTGGAAGTTATCCAGCTTGGATCACTAATGGGGCGCACAGTTTATGGAAGCCACACACCCTGTGGGGCAGAGCATGGTAAAAGCAATACATAGTCAGGTCCTGACACTCTCCCCCTTACACTGAATGCTCGCACGCACGCACGCACGCACGCACGCACGCACACAACCTAATTGCATACAAGCTAATGCATAGTTGATTACAGATCACTGATATTCAGCCATCCTATCAAAAGGGGCCATTCATCCCTTACCACGGTGTGATTCAAGGGATTCTCCTCCCTCAGTTCCAGCCTGGCTTTTGAAGCGTCACCATCATTCACAGGAATTTTCCTATTTAAAAGGATACACCAATTTCATGAAAACATTTCTTGCTGAATCTATCTTTCATCTGTCTCCCCAGACCAGACCAGTTTCCACTAGTCTCATTTATTTTTGTGAACTCTCCTAGCCCTCCCCGCCATGACCTAGAGTGAGAGTCCGCTCCCAAATGGTGATTCAATATTACCCTGGCAGAACAAAGCAAAGGCAGGCCTTTCATGTGTGGGGACATGAATAACACATATGTCCCAGAGGTGGGCAAGCCAGAGATTAAGCACACTTCTCTCACGTGACCTTTTCTAAGAGGCCAAGTGCTGTCCTAGCTAACCCTTACGAGCTGTCTTGGAGGGCGGCAGACATGAAGTAAAATGGCCACGGACCAAGTGGGCTACAAGTCTACAGACTAGCCCCTTCGCCACCTACCACATCTGCAGTAATTAGCCCTGAGGGCAGGTTTTCAAAACTTCCCCCAAACAAAGTTAGGGACCACATCCACGAGACTAGTTTCCATGGTGACAGTGAAGTTATATTTGCGGCCTTTATCAAAACAATGTGGAGATGTGTGTGGATACACAATAGTATCAGAGAAATGTCAGCTACTCCAGGCAGAAGAGGAAGCTACACATCTGTGCCAGGCTGCTGTTGGCTGTCCCGGGACTTGTTATCAGAGAGCATTGATAAAGGAAGTGTTCTATGCCAACTTCCAAATCCCCAGGATAACATCGCTGACAAGCAGCAGAGGACAAGCTTCACCATTACAGCAAAGCGGCTTCAATCATCTACTGTTCGGTCGTCTCTACCCCGGTCCGAAATGACTGATTAGAAAGCCCAACTGAGCTGTCCAGTGATCAGATCCGGGCCAAAAGCCACATGGAATGGCAGCAGAGGGCAACCTGAAACCTTGGGCTGGACCCAAGGAAAGGGTAGCCATCTCCTCATTTATTACTAAGCAAACTATTTGTTTTAAAAGCACATCGAATGCCGATCCACCTGGGCCCACACTCCTGACATTTAGAGTTAAAGCAGCATATAGACGGGGATTAATTCTCCTTCATAAATATGAAATAATAAATTAAGGACGAAAGTGCACTGAAAGGCCGCTTCAGGGGCTAATCTTTTAAAGGGCGGCAATGCTTCGCTGAGCCAGACTGCCTGTTAAAACTGTAAATCAAGGGCCACCAGCTAGGAGATCTCTCTTGCCCAGACCTTTTGGGGCCCTCTCTGGCTGTGAGAAGGTGAGGGGGCTTGGGCATGGGTTCTGCTCAGGAGTGTGGGGGAGGAGAGCACTTTTCCCTCACCAGGCCTGGCCCTGGAGACCATTCACCTGTCTTCACTTGTTCCACACATGCGGACCCTTTCGCTGTTCATCCAGCTGTGAACGTTCCCATACAGGGGAGTTGCTGAAAGCATGTCGTCCTCTCGGATGGCAGCTTGGCTTCAAGCGTCTAGTCTGTTTAAAAAAAGATAGGGGGGTCCCCAAGAGGTTAGCTAAAGGAGAGGCACTGGCGAAGCAGAGAAGGCCTCTCTCAAGGCGATTCATGCAGGAGGCAGCTTGTGCCTGAGGATTGTCTACAAATGACCAGGAGCCAACAATACATCTGACCCAGTGATTGGGGGGAACAGGCTCAAGCTAACAGGAAAAGCCCATCCAAGCCACAGACAGCTCTCTACCTGCCCACACTTTTGCCACACAAAGAAGCCATATTTGAGGAGGGACTGGGGATACACAGGGCGTTAGATCACTGGCAAAATGATCCCTCCTCTCGGCGTGGTAGAAGGAGTAACGGTGAGGTGGTGGTGGCAGGTTTGGGACTCACATTAGGACGCATTGTTAAGACTGAATTTCCAAGCTGTCCTGTGTACGACCCAAAGATCGAGGGTGAAAGAGAGAGTCCAGTGGGCTGGTGAACCTCTCCACTGAAGCCCTGGATTAGATTAAGCACCTAACAGGGGTGGTTTTGCCTGGGAGCTGCAGGGGGAGGCAGCTGAGTAATTCAATGACGCCTGCTCGCTGGGGACAAGAAATCATTAGCGCATAAGTCTTTGCAGCCAGGGCTGATGCTGATGGGCTCCGAGTAGCTGGCACACAGGAACAGGCAAGCCACCCATTTTCCACATCATGGGAGGGGGAGGCTGTGCCGTGCGGGGGAGGCTGTGCGTGCGTGCGGGGGTGGGGGGCGCGTAGGGGCTGCAAAGGAGCCCAGACCACTTCCCCCACTTACCTTCTCAGCCCACCGCCCCCACCCACAGCACATTCTAGTTTGCTGCATGAGTGAAGGGTCAGGACAAGCTGCATTTTATTAACAGGATTATCACGGCGCGTGATTTATCCTCGTGCAGGATTTTAATTGCTCTTTGGAGGTTGAGCCGTTTCTTTTGACTGCGCTTCAGCCCATATCCTGCTGTTAAATGCTGGGTTAATAAGTAGGGGAGCCTTTAATGCCTGGGACCGATGGCCCTCGGCAATTCCCTGCTCACAAACACATCTCAGTTTCCCTTGTCCAGGACAGACCACGGCATTTTTCCACGGGACCCAAACCTGAGTGTGAAATAATTGGTGTGCAGATAGATCATCAGGGGAACTTTTCTCTCTCCTCCCTCACACACCCACCCACACAGTTTCCGAAAGCCCAAATGTTCCCTTAAGTCGACACATTTCCTTTGTTAGCAGGAGAAAATATGCAAATGCTTGCTTTTACACTTTAGCACTCGGAGAAGCAGACTGCCAGGTCGGTTGGGTGGAGGCACCCTGTCCAGGGACTCTTCTGCCGGGGACTGGGGTGGGGGCAGGGGAGGCTGGGGAGGACCCGCTCCCAAGCTCAGCTACGCTCCTTTCTTTGTCCTAACTAGGTCTTTTGTCCAGCAGCAACCCCCACTGGCCCCCAACCATAGAACAACACGCACCAACACAGCACGCACAGTTAGAGCTCAACAATGAAGCTGGAAGAGGAGGAAGGGCCCTGAAGAGGCCAGAATCAGTGGAGGCATCATGGGAATGGACTTTGTCGACGCTGTTTTCCTAGGAAGGGTCTCTTTCTCCAGACAGGGGAACGAACTCCAAATGGCTTAGCCATGGTGCATAGAGGAAGTGACTAGGGTGTTGCAGAAGGCTGTGGGGGGGGGCGGGCGGGGGGCTGTCCACCGTTTTCTGTCCTCCAAATATACAGGGAACGCCACCCCACCAGTGCTGGAAAGACCCAAGACCTGTTCCACGAGTGTCTCTTTCCTGAGGATCTGCTGCCTATTCTCACAACAAAAGGAAGACGTTGTGGGTGGCCTCATCAAGTAGAGCGCCACTGCTTGGTGCCGGTGTCCTGGACAGCAGTCTGCAACGGAGACCACACCATGCCTTCGTGGAGCACTGATCGATCGATCGAGTGCAGACATTCCACTGGAAACGGGAACTCCACAACCAATTCCCAGGAAAAAGAGCCTGCCTGAGAAAAGTCCAAACTCCACGCTCCAGTTCCTCAGTCGGCCTTCCCTTGAACCCCAGCTGCCTCCCACATACCTCCCTGAGTGGTCTGTCCGCCTTGGGAAAAGTACCTCAGGGAACCTCAAGGAGGAACAGAATCAACCTAGGGACTGCCTGCCGCCTTCCCCACAGAAGCATCTCCGGTCCCCTCGCTTTTCCAGAAAAGGCCACCTGTACTGTGAGGCACCTGGGCTAGACGAGAAAACGGAGGCTTCTGCCCCTCTCTGGAGCTCGTCCTTCAAGATTTTCAATATTAATGTCACACATAAATAGCATTAGCCATCAGGCTGACGCGTCCGGCACACACGGGGTCAGACCGAGAGCTAAGGCCTGGAGTGCATCTCAGCCTCCTGTGTATGTGGCTGCCAGGGAGGGGGCTGAACGAAGGGGAGCCACACTGTGGACTATGCACACATGTGCACGGGTGCTTGTGCACACTCGTGTACACACACTTACAAGCCTTAGCTGCTCCGTGAACTTTTTGTGAACTGTTCAAGAGTGGAGGTCTGTTGAACAAACAGCGGCGCCACTCCAGCCATAATTTCATTGCAACAAGCTAAGGACTTTTAACTCTTGAGGTGCCTGGCCAAAGAGGAGCAGCGGAGAAAGGGCCAGTGGCTGGGATCCTGTCTGGCAGGAGGCCCTTCTCGAGGGTGGCAGACAAGGGCAGCTCAAGGCCCCCGCAGGAACATAATCAGCAGAAGCATCCTGCTTCCACTAAACCATTGAGGAGCAGGGATTACCATCACTCAAACTCGTGGGTGAAAAGCCAAAAAGAGAGCAAGAGGCAGAAAAGAGCAACACTCAACTCATCCCATTCACTTTCTAGAAAGTGCTAGTAAAATGGCTGGGGCTTTGCTTTCTACTGCTGAGGCAAAGTACTTCAGAACTGACTTTGCTGACCCTTGGCTGTGGGATGTGGTAGAGAGAATACAGAAGACCTCAAGGCGCTTGGCTGCTATATATAAGGAAGAGGTTCACATTTGCCCCTTCTTCCACATACAGGCTACGCCTCTCCAAGTGCCAAGATGTGTGAAGTCACTCATGAAATAACACTTTACAAGCACCGGCCTGTTCCGAGGGCAAGTTGCTAGCTTTACCTTGGCTCTGGGTTTTAACCCTATCGCCAGTTGTGGAGAGAAAAGCAAGGGCGAGAAAGGAAATGCCAAGAAAGGATGGCTCAGAGAGCCAGGCAGGGAAGGCTGTCTGATTCTTACGGAACAGGTTGATTACTAACTGCAGTATCTGCCTGCTGAACATATGGGTCTTGGGGACCCACCATGTCACAGCCACACATGGTGTGTGGTCGCAGCTCCCGGTACTGGGTTTAACCGGAGTCGTCTGGACAGCCTTTGAGCAATCATTTGCTCTAGAGCCAAAGGTTGTGGCTAGATAGAGTACCCAAGCTTGGCCTGAACACAGGGGAGAAGGACCTGACTGGGAGAAGAGGGTCACAGGGACCAAGATTAGATGCTGTCCCTCCAACCTTGGCATCCTGGAGAAGGAGCGTTGCTTTCCTTTACTAAGAGACAAGAGGTGCCAACACTGTAGATCCAGGAAAAGGACACACTTTCCTTTTTTCAAAGACAAGGTCTTACTGTTCTGGCTAGCATGGGACTCAAGATTTATCTGTCTTTGCCGGGATTAACGTCACATACCAGCCCGCCCAATTTACCGGTTTCTTCTTCTTCGAGGGCATCCATCTAAGATTTCCCCTGCAGACAACAGGGAGCGGACTGAGGGAAGGGTAGTTAGGGCTCTTAACCTCCTGTCCCCTCCACTGTTAGCCCAGTACGGACAGACCACTGCCACCCTGCCCCCTGCCCCCTGCCCCCACAACAGGAAAGCATGGCTCCCGACCAGGGGCTAGGAAGACATGATGAGACCTTTCCACTCAGATGCTGCCCGAGTCCCTTCTTGGAAGGCTTTTCTCCATCCCGCGGGCAGGTCGGACATCAGTAGCCTGGTGTCAGCTCAGTGTGCTAGGGAGGGTCCTCTTGAGAAAAGAAGCCTCTCCTCCCGTGGCTGGTTCCCTTATGGTCATCACAGCTCCCGCTCTCCCCCTCACCCACCCTGTGTCCCTGGGCAGGTGGCCGAATCTCTCCAACCTTGGTCCCCTCTGTAAATATTTGGCACCGTGTTTTCCAGAGGCTTCAGCTGCACTATGGACTTGAGTTTTGACGGGCAATAACTGGAGCTGGCCATGGTTAACCCCAACAGCGTCTGACTCCACTAGACACACTGTTCACATTAAGTCCCAGAATGGCTACACGGTCTTTATCGCCGCCGCCGCCGGTGCCGTGCTGAGGAAGGAGAGCCAGAGGGGCCAGGCTGCGGGGAGGGGACGACAATGACTGGTGTGGATTTCACCCAAGCCTAAAGCTAGCGCCAGCCCTTGCTGGGGTTGCTCCAAACCCAGACTGAGTCACAGCAGCACCACACTCTGGGTGTCAAGGAAGGGAGGGGGAAGAAGTTTCTATTTTAGAATGTTGGGGGGAGGGCCTATGTGGGGGTGGGAAATGAAAAGAAAATGCTTTCCCGGATGTGCAATGCAGGGCGGGTCCTCCTGGGCTGCTTTCCCAGGTGCCATATAGCTGATGAGTAGGGGACCCTCAAATTGCTCCCCGGTCCTGAGCTATGTTAGCATTGGAAGCGTGGTCCAGGCTGCCCAGGTGCAGACTTCAAGGCACAAGCACGGGCTCTGTTCTGTGGACGTCACCACCCACAAGCCCCAGTTTTCCATCAGTAACAGGCTAAGTCAGGGAGCAGAAGGGGGAGAGGGACAAGGCCTGCTTGCGCAGACCTGATCTCCCCAGCTCCTTCTTGAAGCTCTGGGTCACAGCAGAGCCACCAGGGGGGGGAATAAACGTGGCCCTCGGTGGCAGCCCAGGAAGCGAGGAGGAGGGGGCCCCCCTCCACGCCTCTACGGGTCCGCAACAAAGGGACCGTCTTTCCCAGTACTGCTGGAGCGCACT